CCAGCGCTGGGAGTCAATAGCACTAACTGGTGGTGGTGCTCGAGAGGAAGAAGTTGTGGTACTGGCAGTCTTCCTACGAATCTCCTTGTAGCAATAGGTATCAATATAGACCTTGATGATGGGCATCTTCAGCTTCTCAAATGGTGTTTCAGTGACATCGACTCCAGCTCGATGACAGAGATGTGTGATGAGTGAAGGATGACCCAAGATACCTGTATGCTATGAGTGCCTCGACATCAATAGCTTTTTTATCCATGATAGCATAGAGAAGCAGTGCCCTTGACTCCGAAACATCAGAAGTGTGGCAATAAGGAGCAAGAGTGGCATGAATAAAAGCCACCCAAATTTTGGCCATTGGGATCAAATCTTCCCTTAGGATATGAGATATCTTTCCCCTGCTTGTGTACTGAAATTTCTTCCCTGGTTTACAAATAGTTCGTTCCACCATTCCATAATCCTTGATGCGGAATATCCAATCAGAATACTCACAATACCTGAGGCCTTTTGTCAGATGGGTGCCCGGAAAAGTATTAATGGTGGCTGCATCAAACCTGATAGTGATACCCCGAACATAGCTGGTGTACTTGGGGAACTCATTGCTAAGAACCCGAGCATTGCAATAAAATTCCTGCAGTACAAAAATGTTAGCAGGGGCCATGTAGGAGGCTAGCTTTTCCCATTTCCTTCTCTGGATCTCCTCTTGGAATTTCGGATATTCATTAGGCTTGAGTTTGACCATCCTTTCCATCCAGAGACTTCTCTCTTCCAACTTTGGATAAAATTCCTAATGCTCCTTATCACAGAAGGTGTGAGAGTGAAATGAAGGTGCACGGGATGGTCGCCCTGCAGTAGTCTTAATTCTTTTCTCCAGGCGTGTCTTTGGTGGAGCTATCTTGAAAATTTTGGTAACATGAAAGTACAAGGGTAATGAAAGTGAAGGTTAAAGCCAATTGATGAAAAATAATGGAGCAAAAATCACATGGTAGCCAACCTGATAGATTATGGCCCAGGCCAAGGAATCCAAGAGGTGATACCTTAAAAGAACCAAGATGAATGGGATGATCTTAAAGACCTTTTTGCATATATTTTGTACATAGTCTCTTGTATAGGTTATTTTTGCCTTTGTATTTGTGAGGCACTTTACTTGCTTTTTCCTAGTGTTTGTATATTGTTTTTAAGGTAGGCTACTTGGAGAGTTTAACTCCATTTAACCTCCCTAGTTGATACATTCATTTTGTATTTTTTCAGTAGGGAAAAGGGGGTGACATTTAGCAATGCTTGAGGGTGTGATTAGTAATTGGGCCAGAACTGGGTCTAGGAAAAATTTTGCATATTGGACTCATTTTGCTCGTAATTTTTCATAGATTTGATTTAGCTAGGTCTCATCATCATATGATGAACCTAACTAAAACAAATCAAGGTTTTTCAAATTAAATCATGGAGCCAAAATGCATCCAAGGCCGCCTAGCTCTTTCTTCCTCCTTGGCCGAAAATTGCTTGTCTCACTTCAAAGGTTTGAAGCTTGCCTTGCAAGCTTCTAAACCTTTGTAAGGTTAGCTTACCTTACCATGGTTCTTAAGTGAACCATGGTCAAGGTTGGCTTCTCCTACAAGCTAGCTAAACCGTGGGAGTTAAGTATACCTTACCATGGTTCCTAGTGAACCATGGTTAAGGTTAGCTTCTCCTAGAAGCAACCTCTACCCTATATATTTGTAATTACCTCTCTTGTACTCACTTTTGAACAATTTGAGAAATGAAATCAGATTTTCTCTCTCACTCAAGAGTCTCCAAACCGTAGAGAACCTACACTCTTAGGTTTCTAGCAAAGTTCTTCAACTTTGCTTTGGTTCCTCAAGCTTCCTTCACTAGCTTAGGAAGTGGCCGAACCTTCTTCAAGGAATTCTCCTCCATTGAAGCTTCTTCAAAGGAGATTTCAGAGGTCTAAAGGTGTCAACCTCAAGAAGCATCACGTTCCTTGCATGGAAGCTTGGATGAACATCAATCCTTCACCAAGTGCTTCCATCACAACCAATGTAATAATGTGAACAAGAGAACCTCTAACATGCAATTAGGAAGACACAAAATCAGGCAAAACAATTAATAACCAAGCTGCCAGTGGGATGCTAAGCGCCATTGACATGCCCAACGTGATGGGTGCAGGTGCAGGGAATGTGGTTATGCCTGAGCGTTAGGCCCACGCTCAGCGTGAGGGTTGCAACAACGTGCTCCCCTTTTTGTCCCAAAAATGATTCGTCCACAACCAACTACACAAAAAAAACTTAAATCTTGTACTGGGCATTCACAAAAACAAGGTTACTAAGGGTTTAAAGAAGACCCATTCAAAGATATAGCACTACTCATGTGCAAATACCATCAAAGAAGATTAACCATGAAAATAGAATCAAAAATACCAAGAATGCAAGGGTTTGCACGAAAATGGGTAGGGGGATTAGATGAGTGGAGAGATAAGAATGTGAACCAAGAAGCATACAATGGAAGGAACCACACAAGGTTGGGGAAAAAAACTTACCTTTGCGCCTTTGGTGAACAAGAAGAGAGAAGTGGAGCATTACCCACACCAAGAGCAAGACGGCAAAAGAATCAAAGAAAGTAACCTAGGGTTTGAGAGTGATTGTGAGAGGTTAAATAGGGGTAGGGGAAAAGAATGGGCTTCAGGAGAGAGAGTGAGAGCATTTATTATAAAAGTAACTCCTAGGCTAAGTGTGGGTTCTGGGGCTTAGCGTGGGAGCTCCAGAAGCCTAAATTCTCTGCCACGTCCATGCTGAGCGTGGATTCTAAGCTTTGCGTGGGAGTTCCAGAGAGAACTCCCAATTTTCCAGTTCAGTTTTGGGGCTTAGCGTGAAAATGAGGCTTAGTGTGACACTTCTAAAGAAATTTTCTTCTTCCTCTGCACTGATATAACTTAGCATGGAACTTCATGTTAAGCGTGAATTTCAAATTTACTGCAGATTTTTCAAACTTTTCAAGTATAGCTCAATATGAAGTTCCTCAAGCCATCACAATCACAAAGCTTTCTCAACTAAGAAGTAAATACAATGTTTAACCATGTACCTACACCTAAAACACACTAACACAAAAATAATTGAAATTAATGGCATGCTAACTTGTTTTTGGATTAGGAATGATGGGTTGCCTCCCATAAAGCACTCGTTTTATGTCACTAGCTTGACAAGCCAAGACTTCAGGGGTTGTTCAATCCAACAGTGGAATAAGCTTGCTCAATTTCACCACCTAGGTAGAGTTTGAGTCTTTGGCCATTTACCACCTAGCTCTCTTTGGAGGCAAGATCCTCCATTTGATTTTCTCCATGAGGCCTAACTTGCTTAACTTTGAATGACCTTGACCACTTTGACTTCAGCTTCCCTGGAAAGAGTCTCAACCAGGAGTTGTAAAGGAGCACAAATTGTCCCAAATGAAACTCTCATTTTAGTATCTTTCGGTCAGGATACAACTTCACCCTTTCCTTGTAATTCTTAGCTGACTCATAAGCATTGAGGCACAATTCTTCCAATTCATTCAGCTGCAATTGTCTCTTTTCAATTGATTGGGCTAGATCAAAATTCAAGAACCTAATAGCCCAGTATGCCTTATGTTCCATCTCAACTGGCAAGTGACATGCTTTTCCGTAAACCATCTAAAATGGTGACAATCCAAGAGTTGTCTTATATGCAGTGCGATAGGCCCACAATGCATCATCAAACTTGAGAGCCTAATCCTTCCTACTTACATTCACCGTCTTTTCAAGGATACACTTGATTTCCTGGTTTGAGACCTCTGCTTGCCCATTTGTTTGCGGGTGATAAAGAGAAGACACCTTGTGTTGCACATCATAGTGTTCCAACATCTTAAAAAAGTCCTTGATGAACCTCCTGTAGAAACTGGCATGCCCAAGGAAGCTACGAGCACCCTTAACATTAATTGGGGGAGGCAACTTCTCTATCACATCAATCTTGGCCTTGTCCACTTCTATTCCTCTGCCTAAAATTTTATGGTCAAGAACAATACCTTCTTGAACCATAAAATGGCACTTCTCCCAATTCAGAACTAAATTGGTCTCAATGTACCTTTTCAAAACTAGCTCAAGATTCTCCAGGCACAAATCATATGAAGCCCCAAAAATAGAGAAGTCATCCATGAAGACCTCAATACATTTCTCCACCAAATCAGCAAAAATTGCCAACATGCATCTCTAAAAGGTAGCCGGTGCGTTGCAAAGACCAAAGGGCATTCTTCTATAAGCAAACACCTCAAATGGGCATGTGAAAGCAGTCTTTTCTTGATCCTCTGGGTTAACCGCAATTTGGTTGTACCTTGAGTACCCATCTAAGAAAAAGTAGTAAGCTTGGCCGCTAGTTGCTCCAACATTTGATCCATAAAAGGAAGAGGAAAATGGTCCTTCCTAGTGGCTTGATTTAACTTCTGGTAGTCTATGGACATTCTCCAACCTGTTACTGTTCTGGTCGGGATCAACTCATTCTTTTTATTGGTGATCACAGTCATTCCTCCCTTCTTTGGCACAACTTGTACCGGGCTCACCCACTTGCTGTCTGAAATTGGATATTTCATGAGAGCTTTTAAGATCTTTAGAACCTTTTTCCTCACCTCCTCCTTCGTAATGGGATTTAGTCTTCTTTGAGGCTGAGCTACTGGTCTGTAATGACTCTCCATGTTTATTTTGTGCATGCAGTAAGCTGGACTGATGCCTTTAAGGTTAGAAATGGACCACCGTATAGCTTCCTTATGTACCTGCAAGACCTTAATCAGTTTTTCTTCTTCCATTTGAGACAGGGAGTTGCTAATGATGACTGGTTTTTCACCATTTCGCTCCAAAAAGACATATTTGAGGTGAATTGGAAGTATTTTCAGCTCCGGCTTAAGGTTCACTCGTGTGCTATCACTTTTTATCTCCTCATGGTTGGCATCACTAGGTGGAATCTCCTTAAAAGTATTTAGATGCTTCAAGCATTCAGACATTTCAATCATTTCCTCCTTATTGAGTTCATCCATAGTATCAGTAAACACACATTCTCATCCAGCACATCCATTTGAAAATAAGTACCTTTATCATTCGGATGGGTCATGGCTTCAAATACATTAAAAGTGATCTCCTCATCTTGGACCCTCAATTTAAATTCACCATTCCCTACATCAATGATTGCTCGTGCAGTCTTCATAAGTGGCCTCCCAAAGATAATAGGAATAACATAGTCTTCTTCTATGTCCATGATCACCAAATCAACTGGAAATATGACTTTGTCAACTTTAACTAGCATGTTTTCAATCGCACCATAGGGGTACTTGATAGACCGGTCAGCTAGTTGCAAAGTCATACATGTTGGTTTTACTTCCACCTGTCCAACTCTGTCCAACATAGACAAGGGCATGAGGTTAATTCTTGCACCCAAGTCTAGTAGTGCTCTTCTAACTGATAGGTTCCCAATAGTGATTGGAATTGTAAAGCTTCTTGGGTCCTTGAACTTGGGAGGTAAGTTCGTTTGAATTATGGGACTGCACCCCGCTGCCAACTCAATGATCTCGTGCTCAATGAACTTTCTCTTCTTGGTCAAGAGGTCTTTCATGAATTTCGCATAAGTGGGCATTTGCTCCATTGTCTCTGAGAATGGATTGTTGATATGAAGCTTCATAAAAAGCTTTATGAAGCATGCAAATTACTTTTCTTTATCCTTCTTGCTTGGGGCTTGGGGATATGGCACATCCTTGGTACTAGACACCTTGGATTTCATCTTCAATTCTCTTGCTAGCTGGCTCTTTGATTTTTTAACAACAACTTCTTCAACTAACTCTTCTCCCTCCATGACATTCTCTTTTACATTTTCTATTTTTTTTTCTCATTATTTTCTCCACCCCTCTCTCATTTCTGCCTCTTTTTCCTACTGTTTTTCCTCATCCTCTAACACACCCACTCTCTTACCACCTCTTGTTGTAATTTCACTACAATTCTCCTTTGGATTAGTGTGAGTATTAGCTGAAAAATTTCCACTAGAATTTTCAACCAATTGTTTGGCCAACTGCCCCATTTGAATCTCCAGATTTTTTATAGATGCTTTAGTACTCCTGTGGTTAGAGATTGAGTCTTACATGAACTAGTTCGATGTTTCTTCTAGTTTAGACTGCCTATCACAAATGTTGGGCCTTTGCATAGGAGGTCTACTAGACTGAGCAACATCATTCTGGTTCCACCCTATGCTAGGGTGTGATTGCCAATTCTTCCCATGATTACCACCATAATTTCCTCCTTCTCGAACTTGATTCCTCATGTAATTCACCTCTTCTCCATGAGATGGGAAGGTATCAATGCATTACCCGTGAGGATGTTTTAACCCACAAAGATCACAACTTAGAACATGATGTTGAGTGGATTGTAGTTGTTGTGGAATCCGAACAACTTGCTTGGTAAAAGCCTCAATTTGCTGGGACAAGAGCTTATTTTTGAGCTAATAAAGCATCTTGAGATCCCAACTCTAGAATTCCTCTTTTTTGTCTCGACTCCCTTTCAGCTGGTAAATCATAATCATTTGCTACCATAGCATCAATCAACTCTATAGCCTCCTCCGGTGTTTTAAAACACATGCTACCTCCAACTGAGGCATCCAATAGAATTTTCACCCGTGGTTGCAATCCACCCAGAAAAATGTTAACCTGAGTAAGGTCATTAAATCCATGACTTGGAAATCTCCTCAACAGGGATTTATATATTTCCCAAGCCTCAGAAAGAAGTTTATCTTGCTTCTGAGAGAATATGAAAATCTCACTTTTTGCTTGATTGATCTTAGCAAGAGGGAAGAATCTTGCCAAGAACTTTGTCTCTATATCAGACCACTTGGTTAAGCTTTGATGTGGTAGAGCATTGAGCCACATCTTAGCTTTCCCAAGTAGTGAGAAAGGAAACAACTTCATCTGAATCACATCTTCAGGAACCTGATGTATCTTCACTGTGCCACAACTCAATAAAAGTATGGAGATGCAAATATGAGTCCTCATGATCAAGGCCCACAAATTGATTGTTCTGAATCAGATTCAACAGTGCTGGCTTCATCTCAAAATTAGTGGCAGTGATTGCAGGTGTGAAAATGCTAGAAAAATGAGTAGTACCAGTGGCAACTGCATGATCACCAAGAGTAATTCTTGGTCTTTCCTAAGCCATTTTTGTTTCCTCAAAGATTGCAGATAAAGAAGGATCGAGAGAGGACAAAGTAGCCTTTCTATGTTGTGCCTGCTTGGCTAGTAACCTTTGCTTCCTTACTGCTCCCCAATTCCTCCTAGTTGTTTTCTCAATTTCTGGATCGTAAGCTAAATCACTAACGGGAACAATACCTCGCATAAACCAGAATCACAAAGCTATAACAAACAGTCAGCAACACAGATACGATGAATTAAAAGAAAATAAATAGAATAACTCAAAACATAAAAGAATAAATGAATCAAAGCCTAGATTAGTAATCCAAGTGACTTTGCCTAAGTATTAAGACGCAAGTCCCTGGCAACGGCGCCAGAAACTTGTTATCTCCCTTGGCAAGTGTACCAAATCATATAAGTAGTTAAATAAAAGTATGAGTATCGTCTCCCAAGGGACTTGCACAACACTCTACAAATTCACTTGTTATACTAACTAAGCTACCAAAAAACAATAAGAGTTAAATTTGTTGCAGTAAATAATGTAAACAAGCAATACAAATTCTTTTTGGTATTTTTGTAAATACTTAGGGTACAAAACTTGATTCTAAAGCAATATTAATAAATGTTGGGGTTGGACTTCACTAAACCTTCCTCTCATGTTTATCGCTAAGCTCACAATAGTTATCATTCAGAATTTATCAATCACTCTAAAAAATAACCAACCCTAATCTCTTACAAGTTGACATCTAAGTTGCTAACTTAAACTATCAATCTCTTGCATAGTTGAACCAAGAAACCATCTTTAAAAACCATAGCTTAAGAAAGACTAATGGCATTTACTCGATCTCTACCAATAAGCACCATTAGTTGCTCTATTTCATTTAAAAGGTTTAATTTCTCGATCTCTTAAAAACCTCAAGTTCAAGTTAAGGGTGATCAAACCATAACAAACATTATGCATAGAAATAGAGCAATAAAACTAAATAACAACTAACATTGATCACTTAGAGTTTACACATGAGATTGGGTTTAGTTACATCAAACCTCAACAAGAGTGAGATTATAACTAACATTAATCACTTAGAGTATGATAACTAACATATATAAATAATTATAAAATGGTAAAGACTTTTTTCTTTTGGAAAACCTTTTTCAAAAGCATTATAAGAAGTTTGAATTTTAATTTCAAATTTTTTTAATGTTTTGTAATTTGTTTCGAAGAAGTGTGACGAGACCATTTCATGTAACCCCAGATATGTCTAATTTCAATTTTTAAATGTTTTTTTTTTAATTTTTTTAAAAATGAATGATTAAAATCAAATTTAAAAAAAAAATTGAATTCAATATAAAAGTTTAAATATATTTTGGATCTTTGCAAATATTGGCCTAACTTATTTAAGTCTTTGTAAAATTTGTTATTATTAATTTATAGATTCTTAACATTTTCTTAACGCTCTTTTTTAAGCCTTCAACACTAATTCTAGTTAATTTAATATTAAAATAATTAAAAAAAATAATATTAAGATAATAAAACTAATAAATAATATTTTAAATAAAGATAATTAAATTACTTTTATGTGCACAATTTAATTAATTAATATATTTATTATTTTATACAGATAAGATAATTACATATAATTTTAGTTTATAATTTATTTTTAGTTTTTAATATATTATAAGTGATAATTTTTATTATTTTTATTATTTCTCTTATTTTTCAATGCATTAATTTTCTTTAAACATTATATATTTGTTTTAAAATTATAAAAAATATAATTTACTTAAATACTTATAATTTATTTTTAATATTTTATTTGTTTCTTTATATATATATATATATATATATATTATATTACAATCAATCAAAATTAACAAATTGAAATTTAAAAGTTAAAGTTAAAAGTAAGATATTAATGTGCAAAAGATAAATAATAAAAAAATTGTTAAAAAATAAAATATAAAAAAAAATTAACAAATTGCAAAGTGAGAATAAAATTAGATTTAGTAAAAATTAAATCTATAATCTATAACAATAGATAAAGGGGATACTTCAATTTGGTTTCCACAAATTGTATGACTAATTTACCCTTTATCTATATGTTATCTTAATTTATATGGATATAACCGGAATCAGAAAAAATTGGGTTTTAAAATCATACATGTGGCTCTCATCTCCTTCACTTTCTAAACACATCCACTACTCTCACATTCATAACTTCTCTTGAACTTCCGATAACTTCTTATTGTACGTTACAATCTTTTTTGGGTTTGGGCAAACCAAAACCTATCCTAAAAATTCATGCGGATTGTTGTTTCTTCCTTCTGACTTATTGTTGTGCTGATTTATTGTCTTCCATTATAGGTGCTTCAACATATATGAGTTCAAATCGGTCAAACTGATAACATGAAATTGAGCCCGTGATACCTGGGTGAAATCTTTTAGTATTTTTTTTTATATAATTTATTGATACTGTCATCTGTTGAAAAATGACAAGCCCTTTCAAGTGATGATATCTATTTTCATCCAAACAAACATATAAAGAAAGAAAATTGAAAATAAAAACAAATAGAGACATCTGCGCATAGCAAGAAGGCACACAAAGTTGGTAACGAGTGTCATCATTCCCAGGGCCCGAAGTGTATCCATTTAGTTTCACAATGTAATTAACAAATTCAAAATTTTAGAGACCCATTCATTGCATTGCAACATCTTTTCTCTTTCTCTATAACCATTTCAATTTTTCATTCACATTTACGTTTTTTTGGTTTCTTGGGTCAATTACATTGCATGCTTTCATTTTCAATTTCGTATTTTTACATCATCAGATTGATTTTTGGTGTTTCATACTATCAGGATTCTCTTTGTTTTCATGCTTTCCTTTTGTGTTGATGGTTTTCATAAAGAGAAAGAGACTCTCTTTTTTTTTTTCTCTCTCTTTTGGTACGGTGTGGTTGTGCTCATTGTCTTCTTTCGGTTTCTGTTTCCTTTCACAGAAGAATCAAATCAATTGTTTCCTTTTGGTTTTTGTTTCTGTTTCAGTTTCTGTTTATTTTTTTCCCAAAAATAAAAATCGAAACTTTGCTTTAAACGTGTAACCCCACCCTGAGATTTCGCCGCCAGAATCTTGATCCCTTTATCCAAAAACAATTTTTTATGAATTTCTTTTTTTTTCTATTTAAATTTTAGGATATATTAAAACACGCCGAAAAACAATATTTTCATTATGATATTTTGCAATAGTCCCATCTAATTCTACTAAATTAATTCCTTCATTTTTTCTTTTCTTTTTCTACCATTGATATTTTCTATTTTTTTCCACATATAATAAGAATTTTATATCAAAATGAAACTCGATATTCAATGTATATCTCAAGTTTACTCTTTTTTTACAATGATTTTCTCTCATTATTAACTTTAATATGATTTTAATTTTAATCAACTTTTTAAAAATCCAAGTTCAAGCTATCTCTA